TGTGTGTGTGTGTGTGTGTGTGTGTGTGTGTGTGTGTGTGTGTGTGTGTGTGTGTGCGTGCGTGCGTGTGTGTGTGTGTGTGTGTGTGCATGTTTGTATGTGTATGTATGTCCCTGTCTCTCTCTGTGTGTCTCTCTGTGTGTGTGTGTCTCTGGTTGTCTGTGTGGGTCTCCGTGTGTCTGTTTGTGTCTCTGTTTGTCTCCGCATGTCTCCGCGTGTCTCCGTGTGTCTCTTTGTGTCTCTGTTTGTCACTGTTTGTCTCTGCGTGTCTCTGTGTGTCTCTGTGTGTCTCTGTGTGTCTCTGCGTGCATTTGGCCCTGTGTGCGCAACTCTGCCTGTGCCTTTTGTCTGTACCTGGCCTAAGTTCGAGTCTACATCTGCAGCTATGCGGTTTTCTTTGTGCGTGCGCTTGTGCCTCTGTCTTTGTCTCTGTATTTCTGTCCGGGTCCTAGCTCTTTTTTGTGCGCGCGCGCATGCATGTGTGTGTGTGTGTGAGTGACAGGTGTGTGTGTGTGTGTGTCTTTGTGTGTCTGACTTTGTCTTTGCTTTGGGGAGAATGCACCTCGACGGCGTCCTCTGGCGCGGCCTCAACTTCTTCATGCACCTGACATGTGCGGACAGCAAACGGCAAGGCATGTAACAGCCAAGGCCCATGCGACAGGCTTGATCAATGTCTTCCTGGTCTGCATCCCTCGGAATACCTCATAGTCAAGCATTGGCTGGCGTGCTTATGACATTGCGCGCCTTTTGGATCGCCTGTGCTGCCGCCTCTTTTTCTGCTTGGCGAGCCTCGCAAGTTTAAACCAAAGCTGAGCCGTTGACTGGACTCAGTGGAGCCGTCGCCTGGGCTTCCTCCCTCAACTCAGGAAGCCATTTGCGAGCCTCCCAGCCCCGCATGACCTGACGCGTCCAACGGCCTGACTCAGCCTCGGCCTTTCGTGGCTGAGCCTTCTGAATGCTTATTGCGGCATGCTCGTAGCGCTCATGAGTCTTGCGCCAGTGCTCTGCCTTCAGAATTTCAATTGCAAAGTCACACGCGTGCCCGGAGAGCCTTCTCTAACTCCTGCAGGTTGCGTCCTGGGAGCCGCCAATCATTATGAGTTGTCAACCGCTGTAGATTTTGCCGCAATTTGGAAAGCAAAGCCGCCTGGTACCATGAAAGGGCACTCTGACTGATTTGAGCAGTCCTCCTTGAGAATGGCTTCTATGCTCATAGACTCTCAACTCCTGAGCTCATGGGCGCGAAGCCATGGTCCCATCCCGTCCCGGCCGCCCTCGCCTGCTCCAATTCAGCTTTTCTTTGCACTTTGGCCAGCTGCCCGGGCTCGAGCTTTCCTTTTCCAAACATGGCTTCCTGAAGCGAGCGCTGCCAAGCCCCACATGACTTTGACTCGTGCCGGCCTCGATTTTTTCGATCTCTCGGATCTTCTTTCGAGCCTCGCAGGCCACATTGAAGTTGGGGAAATCTTCACCGCTGGCACGGTGGCCAGGCACATACAAATCTCTTGACACATGCCTGGCAATGAAGCGGGGTTTTAGGAAAGTCGCTCGGGCCTTGAGGATATTTTTCTCCGCGTAGGAAAGCGGCTTCCACACAATGTCACCAGGCACCTTTCAGAGTTTACAGCTCTCTGCGCAAACACAAGCAAGCTGCAGAGCAGCCTCGTAGATGGCGGTGAAATCCGGCTCCTCAGCAAAACTCAGTGCACATAGGGCCACCAAGGCAAGAATTTGGGAGAGGCCGAGACGGCCTCTGTACCTGCACAAGCTCGCCACCAAAATCAAGATAAGCGCCACATTCATCCAACCTTGATCTTTCCGCGCTGGGGCTGCAGTGGCTGCGGGCGCAGGGGCTGGGGCTGCGGAGGCCGCGGTTGGGGCAGGGGCCGCAGAGGCCGCAGCGACCACAAGAGTTGCCGGAGCCGCAGGGGCCGCAGGGGCCGCAGGGGCCGCCGCAGGGGCCGGAACAGCTACGGCTGGCGCTGTCGGGGCTGCAGGCAGCGGAACTGTTTGGGGAGTCGGCGCGGGCATTGTGGGTGCTGGGGGCAGGCGCAACGCTTGCGGCGCATAAGGTGGAGGCGGCGCTGGTGTTTGCGGCGCTTGCGGGAGCTGTGTCTTGGGTGCGGGTACTGCTGGGGCAGGCTTGGCGGGCGCATTAGGTAATATCACCCTCCGCTCAGGTGCATCTGTGGGTGGCGCACCAATTGGCGCTGTCGAGGGCGGAGCCACTGGTGCCGGTGCCGCTGGCGCCGGCGCTGGTGCTGTTGGAGCCAGCACTGCCGGCGCTGCCGGCGTAGGCCCTGCCTGCGCTGCTGCTGCTGCTGCTGCTGCTGGCGCCTGTGATGCCGGAACCGTCGCTGGTGCCGCCGCTGGCGCCTGTTTTGCCGGCGCCGGTGTTGCCGGAGCTGGTGCTGCCGGAGCCAGCGCTGCCGGAGCCGGCGACACCGGGGCCGGTGCTGCCGGAGCCGGCGCTGCTGGCACCGCTGGTGCCGGTGAAGCCGCCGGCGCAGGCACAACTGGTGCTGGTGTTGCGGGTGCCGCAAGCGGCGCAGTCGTTGCAGGCGCACGTGCCGGTGCCGCTGGTGCAGCGGGCGCTGGTGGCAGTACCAACGAGGGCCCGCCAGTCTTTGCTGACGCCTGACAATCACTCTGCACCATGGACCTCTAAAATGCAATCCATGCCTCCTGGCGCGGCGGACTGCTAGGGGGTGCCGTCGGCGGAGCCTGTGCGCCCACACACTGCCCGCAAAGCGCGCCGCCAAACTTGCCTTTGAATTTCTCTCCATACCTGGGATCGCTGGCAGCATCAACAGAGGGAGTCCCAAGGTGCACACCTCGTGGGGAAGGTGGCGCAAGAGGAGCTTTTGGTTTGTCGATCTCCTCGCGATGACGAAAGGCCGCGAGGTTAGCTAGCTGAACTGCCGCCCTAGTCACAACCGCTGGGCAGCCGACACCGACAGCACTCACCGCACCTGGCCGCTTTTGTTTGGAAAGCGGCAGGGAGAGGCACGTTGCGGCGCGCCTGGTTTCAAAGCTCTGGCCTGCGAGCATTTCCACAAAGCAGTCTGGTTTCCAGGGCAAAGAGTTCCCCTGACAAATGCGCTATTGGGTGAAAAACACGAGAAACACACCCAGCAACCCTGACTTGCGGAATTGTGGCCCTCGGAACTACTTCGGAACCCTAACCTGCAACTGCTTCCTGGAACCACCCTCCGAAACCTCCGGAACCCCATCCAATAACATGTTCACGGAACGACCGCAGGAACGATCGGGGTCCGGAATGAATAATGCTTATATTGAAAGGGGCAAGATCGAGGCCAGAAAAACGCAAAATGCGCCTACGTATATGTGTAAATGTGAAAAAACTGAAATTCCATTCATACACACATTGCTGAAACACAAGCACCTAATACCTTGGCCAGTTGTACAGCCCGCAGCCCTTCAGCCTCAATACATCGCAGCCCGAGTGCAAATAACGCCAAGCACTGATTCTCACACAGGTGACTCGCATCAGGCAGACAAGACATGCAATCCCTTACACTTGGAGCAGTGAACAACAGTGACATGCACATGGGAAAGGTTTGGCACATATTCCATACACAGTAACATGAACAGCAGCTACTCTGCAGCTACACAAGTACAAGGAAGCACCACCGCAGCTCACAGGAGTGCACACCACAAGGTGACAGCATACCTTCGACTGCAAATGCAGCATACAACACTGCTGAGACAGTCACGGTTTCACAATCATGATTTAGTGGAAACTGAAAACTCTTACAAGCATTCGCAGGACAGTGGACACACTACGTATTGGTGAGCACATGCGAAGTACCGGAGTCAAAATTCGCACACAAACTCTCAAAGCAACAGATTTGAGACACGGCATCTGCTATACCTTCAGATACTCCATCCCACTTAGGACAAGAAGCATTGGGTGCCTGACAAGGTGCTCCAGCCGACGAAAAAGAAGTTCAAGGAGAGCTTTATGACATGAGAGCTCCCACTTGCCATGTACGAACAGGACAACCACACCTTACCACCGGACGCTGGTAAAATCGCAACACTTCTTAACAAGACAGAAGGAGCACAACGGCAACATGTACAACTGCAAGCAGGAAGCATCGCAACACACGCACAAATCAGATCTCTGGTGATAGAGCATCACAAAGCAGCATCACAAAGCACTCGCAACAACAGCGCCAATCGACATCGGCGCGACTTCGACCAAAGGAAAGGCAAAAAAGGCAAGCACAAGGGCAAAGGAAAGCACAAGGGCAAAGGAAAGCACAAGGGCAAAGGTTTCGGCTACGATCACAATGGAGGCAAAGGCAATCAATGCAATCAACCGGGACAATCCAAAGGACTACATGGGTGTGGCAAAGGAATTTCACACGGCAACAAAGGAAATGGCAAAGGATACTGCAAAGGAGAAAAAGGAAAACAGCTACAAACGTTGCTACACGTGTGGAGAGCCAGTTGGCCCTTTTTGCTTCTGGAACTTTACATGTTCTTGCCTTTCCCCAGAAAGAGTATCAAAGTAAAAAGTAAAACGTTGGGACCCCAGAAACGTGGAAAGTAAAACCTGCAAACGTAAAGAGTATAGCAAAATGCTTTAGTTGCTTACTTCCCAAAGCAACAAACTCCCGAAAGTTTGCTTTGCTTTTGGCAGTTTTACTTGTTGCTTTTCACGGGGCCAAAAAGTGTTGTCTTTTGCTTTGATACTTGTGCTGTGGACAAGTAAGCAAGTAAATCCCGAAGTAAACAAAAATACTCCTAGATTTGGCACTTGTATGTTTTCAGGGGATAAAATAAGACTGCTGAGGGAAAATAGCGGTAGTTTTGGCGATTGTCTTTTAACAACAAAGCTGCCTCAAATAATGATATACTTTCGGCACTTTTACCGCTTTGCTTTTGCGGTGGAAAATGAATGGAAGCAACGCTACCTGAAGTAAAACCAAGTTTCACTTTTGGCAGGTTTACTTTTTACTTTTCATGGGTCCCCGAAAGCTGTATCTGCTTGCTTTACTTTTGCTGGAGAAAAGGTGGAAAACTGAAGATTTCCAGCAGTGATACGACACATATGCAGGCTTTCCTGTGTTTTCTATTTTGCAGCAATTGTGCAGGCATGTCTGTCATTTGTGACTTGTCAGGAGCAGATAAGCGCGCATTGTCCCGGGGTTTTAGATCTACGGGGGTGCACAAGCTACTTCAAAAGGGCCCTATCTGCATCCGCAGCTTCGAGAAGCATTCTGACTATATTGTTTTTTTTCAACAATAGTTATCTGCAAAAATACCAGTCAATCAGTTCACCACACTGTGAACAAATTAGGAATTCGTTGAGGTCAAGATGAATGCTTTGCAGAATTCAGTCTGAAACCCCATATGCGACAAAAAAAATGTGTGTCCATTTGTCCAAGTCTTAATCCACCTTCTTGATCTACCTCCTGAGCGGGTCCAGTTCAACGCATATGTATTTGTTCTTCTGCTAAATGGCGTAGCTTTGGATACTCTATAACGCCCCGAACTACTTCTGACTTAATTAAGCGACCTGTGTGTTTGCATCTGTATACACTACAGAACCATACTTAGCTATACCCTTCTCTTCCAGATTGTCCACTAGTTCATCGCAAAATATCTGTAGAAACAAACAGTTCAGCAAGAGCACCTTCTACAACTGCTAGCTTACCTAGCAATATCTCACATAGGTGTCCTATAAGATATCTTGTAGGATACACGTTGCCTGCGATTTTTACATCAGGTGTAGTTCCAGTACATGTGTCATACATGAAGTTGCAAGGGACTGGTCATGCCGCTATTTCAGCTTTCTGTGCACATCTAGCAAAAACTGTGTGTGTGTGTGCCCTAGAACAGGTGGTGTGTCCCTAATGCGCAGAAAAAATGCTAGATAGTCCAGGACTTCCTGCAATCATTTGCTAAGGCATTGTCTGCCTTCACTTCTGCCTCCATCTGTGCTTGCAACAAATGCTTCAAAACCATTCTGGTTGAGGACAACATGACAAACTCTTCATTCGCCAATCCATCTGAAGACATCTGAAACCTAGGCCCAAAACCTGAGTACCGCACATGCGCGACTGAGTTCGACACGTCTGCACCGATGGGAATCTGTCTGGGAGGATCGGTGGGAGGAGCCTTGCGACACTGTGAGACAGGTTAACGATCGATTTGCTCCAACAGTCACAACCTGAGATTGCCACGCCAACAGGGCCGACAGGGCCGGGGCCGGCGGGGACGACAGGGACGACGTTCGGGCCGGGAAGACCAGGCCACTTTCCTGCTCGGCCGCGGAACAAAGCGGTTCCCACGCTTCTGGGCGTCTGACCAGGTGCAGCACTCGGCCCCAGCCCTGGCCCTCGTTCCTCCTGGCTCGCAGGCACGGCACGGCATTGGGACAACGCAATGCGTAAACCTTCAAAGCGCTCCTGTGCATTCGTTGGTGCATGCGCATTCGCATGCATGTGGGCGGGCTCCTTGGGTGTTGGACCTAAGGCTAGCAAGCTTTGAGGCTCTGAAGATTCTGCGAGTTTTTGCACCTAGTGCTGGCGACAGCTTGGGCTTGGGGGCCGCAAAGACGGCCGTCGGCGCTGCGCCCCTCGGTCGCAGCTCCGGCAAGGCGCTCCAAAGCGCAAGGGCCGCAAGGCGCTGGCCACGCCACCGCGGCTTGGAGGTTGGGCGCTCCCCAACCGCCCTCCTTGTCCTGGAGATCGCGAGATCGCGTGGCACGCGCACACGACACACGACGTTCGGTCCGGGCCCAGGCAGGGGAAGGCCGCTGAAGATGCGATGTCTATCCTGGGCCCGAGCCCTTCGAGCCCTTCGAGCTCTTCGAGCGGAAGCATCGGATGTCTAAGCCCTGTACTTCCCAGGTTTCGCCTCGGCGAGTGCAATCGAGGCGGAAAAACGAGCCCAAGAGCACAACGCCTTGGGCGCCGATTGTCCTCTCAGGTCTCAAGCTTTGGTGCAGTGAGATTTGCAGTCACTGTCAAACAGAAGCGAGTCTCCTTTCTCCTTCTCTTTGAGCGTACTTCGGTAGGATGCTGCCCTGGCGCAAGTGCATCTTGCGAGGCACAATGTCAGCACAAGCCGGCTGTGCCCCATTTGCAGGTCACTCGCTGTCAAGGGCTTTGCAGCTGGCCTGGCACAAAGGTCCCCCAACAAAAGCTTTGCATGTCACGGAAGAAGCACTGCACGCTGTACACGCCTCTTTGGCTCTTTGGCCTTCTTGTCCTCATATTGCAAGCAGGAACTGCTCGCATCAAACAAATTCACTGCTGGCCTTTGACTCTTTCGTCTCCTTGGACTCTTTGGAGTCTCTAGACTCCTCATCCTTGTGCGTGAATGCCAAATCAGGATTGGTGGGTGTCGCATGGACAAGTCCTTGCCTGTGTCTTGGCACTCTTGTCCTCCGTCTCCTGTGTACCCTGGCAATGGTGTTGGGAGCCAGTGAGCTAGGAGCGCTTCACATGTCGTTGCGGGGGACTCATACGCTTGACGGCCCGCATCCTTGTGCTCGACGTGTCCTTTGCCACGACGGTCCTGACAAACGGGCAAGCAAATTGCTCACATAGTGGGGCCCTGCCTGCGGCCGAAACATCACTAAGTTGATGGCCTCAAAAGAGGAGTTCCCAATGCGTTTGAATCATCAGCTTGGGATCCCGCCACGTTGTCTTTTCCGCCCTTTCCAGGTCGGACCTCACGTGCGCCAGCTTAGAACGCAAGCCCCTTGGGTTTGTGGCATTAAGACATGTACCCGAGCCAAGTCGTGCTTGTCCACGAGGGACACGGAGATGCCCAGGGACTGCGAAGACTCGTTAACCGCTTACTGAGTTTACCTCCTCTGGGCAGTTCGAATTTTCTTCCCCTTGTCTCCTTTGCTCCTTTTCTCCTTTCCCGGTCCTGCGCTTTCTCCAACAGGCCGTCAACATCAGAAATGCCGTTGTGCTCGAGCCTCAACCTTGCCGATTGCCGTTGCTGGCAGGACTCGAGGATTCTGTGGGCAGGGCCACAGGGGGCATTTCCCCTTGCCGTACGGGTACTTCTGCTTCTGGTGGATCTCCTGAGTGCCAGCCGCTAAGCAACTGACAGAAAAACCATGCAAGGTCCTTGAGAAAATGGAGCACTCCATCACTCGTGACCTGGCAATTGGCACTTGGACCATTGGACTCTCACCAATTCAACAATTCCTATTTCCAACTATGTCGCATGGCTTTGAGGGATCGATCGGAGCCTTGCCGGAGAGATCTGACAGGTGGAGTTCGTGGGCCTGAGACGAACGATCTAGGTTCCTTCCTCGTTTTTCGCTTCTTGGCTTCCGTCTTTTCATGTCCTTCCCCGTTTCGCTTCTGAATCGACGCAACCAGACGCCAGACGCACCCAGACGCACCGGGAGGCACACGTGGCCATCCGCCACCCAGCTGCTCAACGCCTCTCAGAGACCGAACTGACGGTGGGAAAAATAAGCGATTCACCAAAGACGGCAGATTGACCCAAACCTTCAGCGTTGGATCACCCAGGGCATTCTTGTACAACTTCAGGCGCTGACAAGCGGGCCTTTGGCTGACTCATGCACCAGAACGCATGCTTCAGTGTTTGCAAGCACTACGAGCCTAAGATCCTGGCCACCTCTGCAGAAAGGAGACCAAGTGCGCTTCTACTCCCTTGTCTGTTATGTACGAGTTGCAGCTCAGGTCAATGTTCATTGCATAGTGACCTGGGATGCCGAACTTTGACAGTGGCTCCACATTGCCAACTGAGCCCTCGGCCGTGCTCATCGACATATCGCTGCATATACTCGTCTAAGTACTTCATCAGCTCCTGCGAGAGAAACGAAAGCCGGGAGGACGGGAAGTTCGGGAAGGTGGGAAGATGGGTGAATGGAATGCCCGAAAAACGCCCGAGTCTCCGACAGAGCCACCCGCCTTCAAGTCAGCATCGCCCAGCTCTGCTCCGCTCAGCTCAACACGGACAATGGAATCCTCGCAACCGTCGCAACCGTCGCAACCCAGTCAGCTGGGATTTGTAATGAACGAAACCGATTGAGTAAGACCGCGCAGAAAAATACAAAATAGCATTGCCTTGTGCAACAGCAAAAAAAACACGGGCCACCGGGGGGGATTACCTGGAATAGAGGAAGCGCTGCAGATCGTAGATTCACAAAGTGAGAGTTGTAGATTCACAGAGGCCTACTGATTGAGGTTGACCACTTGTCGACCTGGACAAATGTTTGTTGAAGCCATCTCCCGAGACCTTCCGACCGAAACACAAAAATCAGCGCACAGTAGTAGCAATCAACGAATGCTAGCGCCGTTTCGCTGGAGAATCAAGGGCTCCTGCCAGCTATATGCATTCTGCCTGCGGCATGTGCCCTTCGCAAACATCGACAAACCAAAGGGCTGCGTTTCGCGAATGATTTCCTGATTTTGGTGGACATTTTAAAAAGAAAAAAGAGACACGGAGGAACCTTCTCGGCCTTCAGAGTTGGACTCCTTTCCATTTGCAGCCAATGTGGACAACCCAAACACACACACACACACACACACACACACACACACACTTGAACTCCAGATGGAGGGTGCTAATCTTTCGAGTACAACTGATGAGTCTCGAGTACAACTGATGAGTCTCGAGTACAACTGATAAGTCTCGAGTACGATGAGTTTCGGCTCGCACATCACTCAGCTTCACTCTAGTTACTTGAACAGGGAAACAAGGAAGCAACAGCGGTTCAGGGGGGGGGACCAAAAGGACGTTCAGAACATCACGACTTTCTCAAATTGCAGGTACGTCCAGAAGGCGTCCCTTCCGGATTTCACGACCAAACCATCACTGTCTTCGTTGGGCGGCGGTCCACTGCCCCCCTGCGTAAGAAATTGTGGTGGCAGGGTATTCTGCCACTCCGCACACACACGCCCCTCAGTGAGGGGCGAGAAGTCTCTTTTTCTCTGCCGGAAGATCACATGCTCAGGTCCTTAACTCCTTAACGTCTACCAAAATATCCACAGCGGCGGGGAGAACGCGAAAATGCACGCTCCGTACGATGCCGCTCAGAAGACGGGGACGAAGGATCTCCAAGGTGAGCAAGACGTGCGCCGCCATAGAAGACAGGCGGAAGATGCAAAGATGACGGATGAGCACCGTCAGACATGGGTGGGGCGTAGGTGAACATCTCCTCGACCTGGATGATGTTCGGATTTTGCACGTCAACAAGTGGTTGATCCGGAGCATGATGTGTGACTCATAGCGGGACAATATCCGTTGATGACCTTGATGTTGCCAGTCACGAATTGTCCATGCTTGACCTGGTTCACAAGTCCCATCACCTGGATCGGTTACCCGTTTTCACTCCCGAAACAAGTTGTCTGGCAGGTGAGGCACTTCCTCTTCTGGGTGCCACAGCTGAAGTTGTCCCGGAGTGTAGATCCGCACCCACTCCTGACCTTGCCAGACGGAATATTCGAGCCATGTGCTGCTCGTCAGTTCGGGCCGACGTCCGAGTTGCATCATCTGTGTTCATGTCGAAGTGAAAGACAGGGCGTACCACAGGCTCCGATCCAGCTAGCAAGGAAACAGTCACCATGTACAACCATGCACAACCAACAAACACACATGAAAGCAAGAGCATGAGAAAGCACCTTTTGTGTCACGATCAAAACGCATCAATCTATTCAGCGCCTAGCTCGAAGATAGGCTTCTCCTTGTTGGTAGAGCTGCATGGTTGGCTCGCAGGTAGATATGGATCAGCGACCCCAATAGACTCAGGTGGTTATCCTCAGTAGAGAAAGCCGAAGCATCCGAAGATCGAAGAATCGCATTCAACATCTGCGGAGACATACACAAAGCCGATGATTGCGCGGCCACGTTATGTTGATCAGGAGAAAACATTGAATTGAAGCCGTGATCAGCTTCAGGAGCTGCAACGCGCGGGTAGCCTTCTGTCGCCCAGTCCCTCTTGCACCGTGCTACTGGTGGGTTGTTCGCCATCTTGAGCAAGATTTGGGGCATAGAACTCCTTCCACTCCCTGTACTTATGACGTGGAGGTGGATCATCACGTTCGTCTTGAGGTGTCCATGATCCCGGATGAAAAATCTTGACCCGTTGAGCGTCAGGTCACTGAGGGTCAGGGCACCATTCTAGCCACGGCATGATGATAGTCAAAGGTGCACACGGCTGCAAGGAACAAACATGATACAAGGCAATCAATCGAAAGGCCGCAGGCAATGCACTCTTAAGACGCAAGACTCAACAGGCGCAATGTTTTACACAACATTCAGTCCAAGCATCAATATCACTCGTCCCAGTCAAAATTAGGATCATAGCTCGGCGGGGGAGAAGGTTCACGCCACGCGCCGTCAGGAACTGAAGACGCCGACGAGGACGACAATCCATCGGACACGAAATCTGTCGATCCAATGCAAGGGCGTGGGTCACCAAGGCGTTGGAATCCCCGCGTGTGCCAATCACGAAATTGCCATGTGTGATAGGATGCGTAGGAGACCGGTGCTGCGAGCGCATCCGCAGTGGTGCCTCCTGTGCTGTCACGTGGCAAGTACACGTCAAAGTGGTAGACTCTGCGCCATTGGCGATATGTGGACGCGCGGTCCGGGGCCGGGCCTAGAGTGGATTCTGCCACAGGTTGCCACATGCCCGGCGTGTAAACACGAATCCATTCCACTCGTGCGTTCGCCGGGCCTCGCTCAATGTGGTACTCAAAGTAGCGCGGCAGCATGACAACCGGATGCGTCACTATGAAGCAAAGGGTCTGCGATAGAACAAACATGCCATAACCGACAGGCAAGCCATGCACAATCAGCAAGCAATGCAATGCAGAACAACTTTTCAAACTCAAGGCTAGATGCAGCGACAAAGCATGTGGGGTATTTCGGCACTGGTTCACCGCCGTTGATGACGCGCGCATCTGCAATGGAAATGTCCTGGTTGACGTCGCACACAGGGAGAAAGACACTTCCGTCCATAATGTAGAAAGGCATGGCAGTAATGCTTGCATCTTGTAGTTCTGGACCGTGTTGCACGAGTAGACCTTTTGGGAGTGAACACGGTGAAGGGTCGTCGAGAATAATGCTCTGCAGAGGTTGATGCAATAGCTTTCAATGTTCGAGTGCGCTTCGGGGTATGCGTGAGACTCCGAAGATCATCAGCGCTGAATTGGTCGGCACTGCGAGCTGAGCGTCGTGTGCGTTCAGAGGTCATAGTAGAGGGGCAAGATTGTCCTCGGGGGGAAGAAGTAGTTGAAGTCCGCAATGAGGGCCTAAACTGCGGGTGAAGAATCTTCGGTGGCGGTGGTGGTGGTGGAGGTGGAGGAGGTAGTACCAACTCTGGCGGAGGTGGCGGTGGTACCGTCATCCGCAATAGCCTTTCCTCTTGAACTCCAGATAGGCGATCGTGAAGCGCGGGTCCGTGATACTGCAACCACGTCGGCTGCACTCCATGGGTCCAGGTTATGAATGTCTGCACATTTTGTTCCATCATGATTTGAACACTCAGGACAGCAAGACACGGCAAGAAAACACCAAGTCCGAAGCAATGCACAACCACGCATAAGAATTTTGACGGCGCAAACGCTGCAAAGTAGTCTAGCTGCGTGCCTCAAGTTGCTGATAAACCTTCCACGCCTGCTTGACTTCCTCGGCAGACTTGTGGAGAGAGCGGGCAATAGTCTTGTAGGTGGGCCTGGCATCCTTGTCTTTTTTGCGCCTGACCATCTCATCCAGCTCACCTTGTGTCCACCCCGTGAATGGTTCATGGTACGCATTGCGGAGGGCGATAGTGAATTCCTGTAGAAGTTCTCGAGGTCCATGTACCACTGTCGGTGATGGGCGAAACGATGAAGCACCGGGATGGGGACGGACAGAACCGTCCGAATCCGAATCAGGCGTAGAAGACGGTGTCGTCACCGGTCCACGGTCGTTGCTTGCCGCGTTGGGAACGAGTGCTCTTGGTGGTGGTAGTCGGTCAACAAGAGCATCTGGACGAAGACCAGGGTCACTTCACGACGTGTTCCCGAGGAGGTGACAGTTCAGGCATGCACCAGGTCGAAGAAGTGTCCACGGGCCGAGTCCTGTGCGAGGTGCGCGACCGATCTGACTCCGTGATGATGCGTGGACGTAGTCCATGTCTTGAGTTACGTGGCGCCCTGGGAGCCATCCGGGGATCAGATTCCGAATTTCGATCTACCGCCAGGGCGAAGTTCAGGGTGTCCACTTGGGAGGCGAGAACGTTGAGCGCCGTCATTAGGTTATTCACGAACTCTGGAGACAACCACATGGCAAGCGTAATAAATGCAAGGACAACACAAGCAAGAGGTGGCTGCGAGTCATCACAAACAACGCATACTGGTATGCATTACCGCTAAATCTGAAGACTGAGGACCTTTTACCGCTCGCCAAGCTTCAACGGCCATATGAGAGGCCGGATGGTCGACACGCCGGCATAGCTTTGACTGCAGGGGGGTGTTTCGGCACGGCGTCACGATGGTCCGAAGCAAGGGCAGGTCCCCGACGGCCAAGTGGTCGTCTGCAATGCCTACGGCTTCGAGACCGATGCCGACGCGCGTCACGGCGTCTGGACCTTCTTCTCGATTGCGCTCCCTGGAGGCGCTGTCACTCACTGGCTCGATGAGATCGGCCGGTTCCACTCGATTAGTAGAAGTAGCCACCAACGTAATGGGCATCGATGTGTAAGCTGGTCTCACCGATGATGCCTTCGGAGATGTTGGCGCCGGTATTGAAGGAGGTCGGAGCGGTGGCTGTGCCTCGGGAACTGTAGGTACTGGAGGGACAGCAGGATGACCAATGGGTACCACGGGGGGAAGCGGTGGTTGTGGATGTCGCTGGTGACCCTCAAGACGCTGTAGTCCGGCTACTAGGATACTGATCTGCGACGAGATGGAGTGTAGTAGGTAACGACCTTCTCGTAAAAGGTCTCCATGATCCATGACAGCACAGGAAACGGCCGGTA